AACAAATTAATTTATTTCTTCAATAGCGTTTGCTACAAGGCACAGGCTAATTCACCCGTGACTTCAGCTGTCGTAACAATATTTTATCCTATCTGAATGCTTCTAATCTGAAGGAGAAAACTAAAAAATCCGAATTCCGTTCGGACGATTACCTTATCTGAAATAACGAGAAAGACGTTAGAAATTACCTATTAGAATATCAACTTTTCGACGTTTAGTTTATTGCATGATATACTAAAAAAATCATGTTATTGCAAAATGGAGTGGAGGGGTGGTGGAGTTTGTTTTGTTACAGACATTCCTGCAAGCTGCGCAAAGACTATCGGCTCAAATCGTCCTCACTACCAACTTTGGTCTACTATAATCAGAGATTTGAACATTATTCTTGTAACGTAACCACGACTACAAAGAGCGGAGAGCGATTTTACGGCAACGGGATTACCCTAGTAACACGTCATTAGCTTCTAGAAAATTCATGTCCCTTCGTGAAAACTCGAGTGTTCACTAGATGTGCGGTATGCTTGTGTATAGGACCGCCGAGAGGTGACGGCAACAATGTAATTGAATTGCAGACAGAGATAGAGACGGACAGTTAGGTCGAGCGCGTGTGTCGTTCGTTGTGAATTATAGCGTTTGTTTAAGTTATAGCGTGACCGTGGAAATTAAGTGAATTTCAAAGTTGTATTGAGAAAGAATAAACCAGTTTTATTTAAGAAAGGACTTGTATCGCTAAAGTTTCTTCGGAAAGAATTTTTACGGGAAATTAACAAACGACTAGAGACGTAACAATATGTATTTGATAAAAAAGAAATAAAAAAACGTTATCCTGAATGAAAAGGTCTCACTGACTGTTGCTTTTTTATTTATTTGTTGGGAAAATGTTAAGTGTGTTAGCATTATTTGTTAGTTTTGTTTTCTTTCGGAAAACGATACGTGTGATAGTAATTAACGGCTCCTCTCCCCCACACACCCCCATGAATCTTGTCGGACCGAGCATATCCCTGTGGTTTACGTGCTCGATTGTGGTTCTGAAGTTCCCTATTTTGCCCAAGAAAAATAATAATAATAATAACTACATTCCCCACTTTTGCGGTGTGAGTTTGTTTTAAGAGTGACGGTCAAATCCTACTATTCGGTGTACAGGGATAGCCCAAGCCCTCTAGTGTATGATTTAAAAACCAGGGACAGTTAGCGCAGATGGTTCTTGTGTAGCTTTGCACGAAATTTAACACAATCTTAATTTTTGTCTCTTAAAACCACTAGTCAGAAGGCGGCCCTTCTCACAGTGCTAGAATTTGTGTTGACTTTTATCACAACTATTAGGCCTTTTGGGGTATCTTAGCTTTCATTAAGTTGTCATAATGACTTACACTAGTGAAGTTGTCATGCTTTATCTTTATAGGACGACATGCGATTGTTTTTTGTGGTTAAACATCAAGTGACCCAATACAATAAAGCCAAATTCGATGACGAGGAACGCACTTTGAGACTAATAATGCTTGGAGACGGCTTGAATGGGTAATGAAGAAAAACTTTGACAAAACCGTGTCGAAACGTTGTACATTTGCTGTTATGTTAAAGTTATATTAAACTTTTTCTTCATTACCCATTCAAGCCATCTCCAAACATTACAATAAAGCCAAGTTTTGAAACTTAAGTGTATACGTAACCTTTAACCACCCCCATCAGTGGCGTAGCCAGGTTTTCCACTCGGGAAATTAAAAAGCTGAAATTGATCTAAGTTTAATATAATGATCATTGAAACAAGTCAAATGTAATAGTGTTCACAGAAATTCTGCTTCCCCTCCATTCCTCAGAGGTGATCTAGGTTTGTCTTTTATGAGATGAACATAATATTAGGTCACAGCTAAAATATATGGAAGTGTTTATATTTTTCATCGATTACGGAAGTGATTTACATAAACCTCTTATATTGGACTTTGAGCTGTATCTTCATCACGTTACGCTGTTTTTCACTTTATGCTGTTCTGAGGAGCACTGATTCAACACACAAAAAAAGGAATAACAGGAAATGCTACACACAGTTAAAACTGAATTTCTTATTTACGGAGTTGAACGTGACCTAAAGGTTAGCGAGCCGGACTATGGATCTGAAACTTCAAGTGTTCGCGTCCCGTTATCAACGAAAAGAAAACAAAAAACCTGCTCTTTGGGTTCGTGTTCAGTTAAATTTCTCTATTCGGTCTGAAAGGGTTGACGGCGGGGGCTGTTAATTACGTATTCCCTCAAATCTATCAGTTTAAAACTAGGTACAGCTAGTGCAGATATTCCTTGACTGCAAATATTCGACAACAAAGCCCGAGTTAAAAAAACAAAACAAAATATAACAAAGTGAAAAGTAATCTTTATTTACTTATAACACAAGTCGAATGGACAGTATTGAAGGACAGTACTACTGTGAAATTTGGCATGATTATATCTAGAGGATTAGACTGATAGTTGACCACTAGAGGATTAGACTGATGGTTGACCACTAGAGGATTAGACTGATGGTTGACCACTAGAGGATTAGACTGATGGTTGACCACTAGAGGATTAGACTGGTAGTTGACCACTAGAGGATTAGACTGGTAGTTGACCGCTAGAGGATTAGACTGATAGAGTTGACCGCTAGAGGATTAGACTGATAGAGTTGACCGCTAGAGGATTAGACTGATAGAGTTGACCGCTAGAGGATTAGACTGATAGAGTTGACCGCTAGAGGAGTAGACTGATAGAGTTGACCGCTAGAGGAGTAGACTGATAGAGTTGACCGCTAAATATCTAGTTCTTGGTGGCTACACGCTATAAATAATCTCGAACTCGGATATAGCTTATCGATACTAAAATAACACATCGTTTATAAATAAATTACATCACACCAACTGTATTGTGGAATGTTAGGTCTAGATTATTTCTCTCCAGGTTTAGACACCATTGCATTTCATAGATGTACCAAAAATTCAGCATTACAAGGACACATTAATGGAGTTCTGGTATTAAACGAAAGACCTCGTGAGCAATGGCTTTTATTAGACAAAAGAGACTTGAAATGTTATTTTAAACACCTCTCAGTTGAAATTGTAATTAGCAAATTAAAAAGGAATGCGAGAAAATAATTTACATTTAAACTTTCAGTGTTAATCACGAATATTGATAAGGATATTGAAAGTTCCCCGAATTACATACATCAAGTTATTCATAGAAAAAAAAAAACGTGTCAATCAATTTTATAGACAAATAAGAAGTCATTCTTTGACGTTTCCAATAATTGAGGTAAAGTGACGTCCCAATATGTACTCGGTAAAAACACAATTTGACTTTGTAATGACACGTGATCCCGACAATTAACACGGGTCAATTCACTCTTAGGAATATTTTGTTTAAGGCGGGACCTTCTTCTATCATGCTATACGCATATTGTCGCATTGTATATGTATAATGAATGGCCTTTAAGGGATGAACAGTGAATGCATGAGTTCCAGATGAAAGGTAATATATATACCTAAGATACTCGAGACTTTGTCCTTTCCTGCGACGGAAGTATCTTGTGTTATTAGAGTTTAATCCTTTCTGTCATGCTCTGTAGTCTGCAATTAATACCGTTATTTAATCTACAGGCTGTCGGCTAATTTACTGTCTGATCTTTGTCCAGGCTAGACGGAAATAAATTTCTTTGTTCTGTCTTCAATAGAGAAGATCCGCTTTTGTGTTTGAAACATAATATAATATACACGATTTTCTAAATGCAAGGAGAGTCAAAAGAAACCATGGGAAAATTTTTAAAAATCGACAGGAGTAAAGAAATGGACAGGGAAATTAAGACTTAGTATAGGGGAACATCCATAGGTTAAGTTAAGTTAGTAGCGTGTGTGTGTGTGTGTGTGTAGAATAAAGGATGGACTATATTAAAAACAGCAAATCTAAGCCTGTGATAAATGAACAAAAATTAAATCAAAGACACTGCACAAATCAAGAGGATTCCTAGGGTAAAGGCTATAACATGGGTTATAAAACGTGCTGTGGGTTTCCATAATGACTACGGAAGTAGGGCCCACTTTGAAATGGGGATACACCGTTTATCAGTCTTAACCTCAGTTTGCCAGTCTCGCATGAAGAAGTTCAAACAAATAAAAATAAAATAATCAAAAGAAGTAGAAATTGGGAGAGCGAGATGTGGGTGCTCAAGCCCACAACGACCCACATCTATGTCAGCCTTCAGTGGTGGGAAGGTGACTGCTCTTTTAAGTAAACCCACATCTATATCACCCTTCACTGCCTCTAGACAGTTGTGGGAAAGTGATTGCTCTCCAAAGTAAACCCACGTCTATATCACCCTTCACTGCCTGTAGACACTTGTGAGAAGGTGGCTGCTCTCCAAAGTAAACCCACATCTATATCACCTTTCACTGCCTGTAGACAGTTGTGGGAAAGTGATTGCTCTCCAAAGTAAACCCACATCTATATCACCCTTCACTGCCTGTAGACAGTTGTGGGAAGGTGGCTGCTCTCCAAAGTAAACCCACATCTATGTCAGCCTTCAAGGCCTGTAGACAGTTGTGGGAAGGTGACTGCTCTCCAAAGTAAACCCACATCTATGTCAGCCTTCAAGGCCTGTAGACAGCTGTGGGAAAGTGATTGCTCTCCAAAGTAAACCCACATGTATATCACCCTTCACTCCCTGCAGACAGTTGTGGGAAGGTAACTGCTCTCCAGAGTAAAAGAAAAACGAAATAAAGTAGTAAAGCACTAATTACTTTCACAGTAGACAAATTATACTAGTATAAAATCCCAACCAACTTATCTAAACTAACTAGTATAACTCCCAACCATCACCCGTCTAAAATGATAGTTTAAAAACCAAATCAGTTAATGTTTAAAATATTTTGTAATTATTTTATAAGGAATAATATACTGATGTACTTGGTGTACAGGATTCTGGTCTAGTGTAGTTTAAAACTCATTATCATATTTATCTAATTCTCCACCAGGCCACTAGGAGCGTTTCGAGATTCGGCTACTTGTTCGTTGCACCAGACATTGACTTTTCGGACTACCGAAACAAAAAGAAGGTAAGTGTTGGCAGTTCCAGTAGTTAGGGTAAGTGTTGGCAGTTCCAGTAGTTAGGGTAAGTGTTGGCAGTTCCAGTAGTTAGGGTAAGTGTTGGCCCTTTCACTAGTTAATTTGTCAGGTTTTTATTTTAACAAACACCCCCCCCCCCCCGCTTCCTTAACTTTTAAGCCTGCAAAACGTTAAATAAATGCTTAGCCGTTTAACCTATCTTCAGTTATTTCAGCATTAAGGTTAAGTAAAAAGAGAAACTTAGAACGTGGTCATATCGTAAATTAAATGAAGAATTGTACACTGATCCACAGTTTAGGGGCGGATGGTATCCTAATAGCTAGCGTGATCAGACTGAGAATCCGAGGGTTCATGGTTTGGCATCTCATTGCCCCAAAATCGCTCTCCACACTTTGGAGCTGTGGGTAGACTGTAATAATGGTTGCTAAATCCCCTTGTTGGGTGAGACAAGAGTTGGCGGTAGGTGCTCTTGACTTTCTTTGTGTAGTCTTACTTAAAGTATGGAACAGATTAACAAATCATAAGTTAGCTGACTCAGGCCATGATACTAATAATATTTTATGTTTAAGGTTCAGGCGTGTAAAGACATATGCATGAGAATTTCTGGATCACCATGTATTTTTTATGGATATAAGGATAAGTGTAGTATTATTAACACCCAAATAAACGGCTTTTTCCTACCTTAGTAGTGTCATAAGTAAATAATGTGGCTTGACTTGACCACAGAACAGTTAGTCACTTTAACTTGCACAAAGGAGTAGCATTTACTTGACATACATGGAATGAAAGCGGGAACTACCAAACATCTTGGTTTAACCTAACAGAATGTATATGTGGGGAAATAATTCCAAGCCTTTTCTCTCCTTACACCTGGTTTAGCTTCCGATCTTAATTGTTAAAAGATGGTCCTCTCAGATTAATCTGCTTGGTTGAGATTAAATTTGAGGAGATATGGACGTGGATGAGAGTGATAGTGTGCGCGAGTAAAATAACCCGGATGTACTTGTTATTGTGCATATACGTCAGTGAAATGACTAAATAGCTTATAGGCCTTTTACGATATATAAACCGTCACTGTTGCTAATTATTTGGGTTTCTGTTACTTAGTAGCAAAAGTAAATTCACAGAAAGCGATAACTAGACAAAATACAAATCGATGCCAATTTACGCGTTCTTGTCAGTTACCACATCTTGAGATCCCAAGAACCCATCGATCTCCATCATAGAGGACGAAACTGATAGTTTTCAGAATCTAAAAATAGATTATTCTTGCTTTGACATGTCCTTGCCAATTTTCTTGTAACTCCGTGCAGGCAGTCGTCAAACGCCTAAAACTTTCTTAATATTCTCCCCCACCCACCCCCAGATTTGAGGGCTCCAACGTTCAACATAGATACTTTGAACGATCACGAACGTGTACATATCAGTTTTTATGTAAATTCATGGATTCAGTCATGAGAGCCCCCAACGACCCTTTGGGGGGCCTCAGATTAAAATTTTCCAAAATCTAAAGTTAGAGTATACGTTTGAACGGATTCCTAAATGTTAATATAAATTTTAAAATAAATTACTTTAGTTAATTCTAAGAGCTCTCAAAACCCCTTGGATTCTCATTTTTGGGACCAACCACTACTCTAAAAATTTGTTTATCATTTATACTATGCAACATTTCAAGTTGTTTTACATTGTGAGAGAAGTTCAAAAATAAAATGGACGTATGTAAATGTTGTTGAGATAAAACTTACTTGTTTCACATCCCTAGTTTTAAACTAGAGGGGAAACAACTAGTAAAAAACACTCGCAGCAAACGTTTTAGCTAATCTTGTTTGATCGAATAGAGGAATTTGACTGTCATTCTTATAGCACACCCACGGCCCCAGAATGCAAAGCACGTTTTCGTGGCAACGAACCAAAAGCCCTCTGATTCACATTACGAGTACGTTTACAGCTAGGCCACACCTGGCCCATGAATAAGAAATATAGCAATTTAGGAGGTCAGAAAGTATGACGACATAGTAAACGAATAAAACCACTTAGTTGTTCGTTGCTTATTCAACTGTGTAACAATCTCGGGAGAGAATAAAACATTTATTTTCAAACTGTATTGGAGTACATTTAGACTGATCAAAGCAGAATCACACTTCCAAATACAAATATAACTAAAAACTAGGCTAAAAGGAACACAAACATGTCGGTCTTCAGATGACGTTATAAATATACCAAACTATCATGGTAGCGAGATTACAGTAAATTACAAATGAAGTTGTTTATTGATGGTTTTGGTTAATAAAATATTGTTTTTAAGTTGACGTTTGTTTACATTTTCCTCACTCTGCAAAAACGGAGGCTTTTAATTTTTTTATGGTTGACCCTCATGATGACGAAATGTTCCATTGCATGAATGAAGATGGGATTTTTTTTTTAATTGAACCAAGTGAAGGCTAATGTAATCTTACAGCGTCTCCTTGGGTTTATCGTAACAGACTTTTCTTAATTAAACCGAGTGAGGGTTAATGTGATCTTGCAGCGTCTCCTTAGGTTTACCATAACACTTTTACTTAATTAAACCGAGTGAAGGTTAATGTAATCTTACAGCGTCTCCTTAGGTTTACCGTAATAGGCTTTTACTTAATTAAACCGAGTGAAGGCTAATGTAATCTTACAGCGTCTCCTTGGGTTTATCGTAACACTTTTACTTAATTAAACCGAGTGAAGGTTAATGTAATCTTACAGCGTCTCCTTAGGTTTACCATAACACTTTTACTTAATTAAACCGAGTGAAGGTTAATGTGATCTTGCAGCGTCTCCTTAGGTTTACCTAACAGACTTTTACTTAATTAAACCGAGTGAAGGTTAATGTAATCTTACAGCGTCTCCTTAGGTTTACCTTAACAGACTTTTACTTAATTGAACCGAGTGAAGGTTAATGTAATCTTACAGCGTCTCCTTAGGTTTACCTTAACAGACTTTTACTTAATTGAACCGAGTGAAGGTTAATGTAATCTTACAGCGTCTCCTTAGGTCTACCGTAACAGACTTTTACTTAATTAAACCGAGTGAAGGTTAATGTGATCTTGCAGAGACTCCTTAGGTTTACCTTAACAGACTTTTACTTGAAACCGAGTGAAGGTTAATGTGATCTTGCAGAGACTCCTTAGGTTTACCGTAACAGACTTATCTATTTTGAAAATAATCACTAAAGTTCACAATTTAAAATCAAACGTAATAGTTGAGTGAAAAGTGTGGTAAAGGTTGAAAGTTTTCTAATTTGTATTGGTCAAATAAATAATATCTAAAGTGTTACCAAATGTTTCAAAAATAACCTTAAAATATTAGCAAAAACATCCGTAGGTAAATCTACAAGTAACCATCTCAATATACCCATGTAACTACCTTATTCTTAAATACACCAATACAAAAATCATTCGGTGTAACCACCTCAATACACTCACGCAAGTGAGTATCACATTTGCTATTAAACTTAGTTTTCAACAAGATTAGAAAAATTCAGTTAAACTCTGTAGGGTAAAGGGAGTACTGGCAAAATCAGTGACCAAAAGTCAGAATCTGAGTTAATTTGTGATACAGGATCTCTCATTCACTTGCCTCGGTGGCAGGGATCGGACGTAAAACTTAAACAAGGTGTAGCATACGATGAGATATGACGATTGCAATTTACAGCTTCTAAATTGTAAAACATGATAGTTATGACTGGCCACATCATCAGCGGAAAACCCACATGTTGGACTACATGGGTCAAAAGTTAAGAAACTTGTAGTAATCATATAAATATGGTATCGGATGTAAATTTGGACTATTTAAGAAGTGGTTTAATGTATCTGGTTTGACAATTGTTACATGTTCTGTAATGCATGAAATTTCATCTGGATGTAGCTTTGGTGTCTTATATATCACTCTGAATAACATCTGTTATTCTATACGGTCTGAATAATTTATTTGTTTGTTATAGATAATATAAAACAAATATACTTACTAGCCTTGTTTATGTCAAAGATGTAGAAAAATAATTATATTATCCCTAACAATAGAAACAACTTAGTTTAAAAATATAAAATATATATATATAAAAACCTATAAGTATTTAGCTAAATTAAAAGAATAGACCTAGACTCGGAATTCAGAAGTTCTAGAATACTGTAGGCTGTGGCTTTCCTGTTATAACTTGTGGGGTGGCCACATGATGTGGGTTGCAATTTACTCTCTTAGCCCAGATTATAACTTTATTTTCTCTTGATCAGGACTCTCTCCAGACTCCAGTTATGTTTTCAATGCGTCCTGTGCATTCGTCACTTGTCCGAGTCGAACATATATCCTGTTTCTATATGTAAAGGTTACTTCACACTAATTTAGACAGTTTAATTCTGGTGTTCTCCCAGTTATTACGGTTATTGTCCTTACCTAAATGTACTTGAGAATACGACAAAAATCTAATATTTTAGGAGTGAATTAGCAGTCCAAATGATCTTTTAACTTTTAAATAATATAGTAAATCTGTCCGATGATATGTTTCGTTAACCAAAATCATTTAACTGTTAACTTTCAAACGTTTTATGAAATGAAGATTCATTTTCATTTCGTGCTAGTCAAAATAAAACCATAGTTAAAGTTAAAACTTTAACCTGGTGGTGTAATTTTTCTCGGAGTGAAGATCAGTACATTAATGTGTGAACAAGAAAGTGTTAATACACCCGCTATGTTCTCTGAAAATTCTGTGATGTAACATGAAAATATCTATGGCTTAACAAAAACAGCAACACCAGGTGGGTGTTATAAATAAAATATTTAGTTTCGCATAACAATAAATCAACGAACTCTACGTTTCGATTGACATCCATAGGTATTGGACCGATTAGCAGTTCGCCAAATTTTTCGACAATAACCAGTTTTTACTCATTAGTTTACTCACATCAGTTAATTTCTTGACTACACGTTTTATTTAGTCGTCGACTAATATGTATTTGACCGATTT